GGGGGGGGGGGGGGGAAGAGCAAATAAGGTTACAAATGTACGTGAAGTAAAACAATGGAACATTTGCCGGGATGGATTTCTAAATATCTGTGCTAAATCAATACTTTGCTACGTCTCTGTGCACAACCCCCAGTGAGAGGCGTAACTGTGGATAGAGGACAGCATATGGCAGTAGGATCCATTTAAATCTTGTTGCACACAGTGCAACAGTATTAAATCCTGGCTTCGTTAAAGTCTATGATGAAATTCTTGTAAACCTCAGTTAGTCCAGAATTTCAGCCAGAGAGTGAGAACTGTAATTCAAAATAAACCTAAGAAAAATTCTTGCCCCAAGTGCCTGAACTAGGCATGTTTCTATTTACCAGTTCGCAGATCCGTATTGCCCTGGTATGCAGTTGTAACCACTCAAGTTGCATGTATAAACATGTATAAATGAGATTTCTTAGCTGGCAAGATATGAATTCAGTGAAGCCATTATTTATCCTTGAAGTAAAAAGAGAGTATGGGCCAGTTCCCCGACTGGTTTAGAGAGAAAGAAGCAAATCCTTAACTATGCATCTCTCTCATTCAGAATATACATTTTGAATCCAAACTTGCTCTGAAGTTAATGGGGACTGACATACTTCTGGTACAAACGTTGAGAAGGACAGTATCTTCTTTTTTGCTTCAATCAATTGCCATGTTTAAGCCATTCAAAAGCAATGTTTACTTCACATTTCTAGTTTCTCAGAGTAAATATAATCTGAAACATCTGGAAAATCCTCATACACTAGTCATGCTGAAGTAATGCTCAGGGGGGTTGTGCATATGCTTACTGGCTCAAGCAGTATTTTGGATCCCTGTCTTCTGAATTAGATAGAAAGCAAAGCGTAGAATCATTTTACTTAACCCCACAGTATCCTGACTGATACAGTAGGCATTACACAAAATATATTGTGCAAGATGCATCAAAGGCTCAGTGACTGAAGACATTTAAGTCCTGTTGAAATAAGAAAATTTAAAAAATTTGGCTCCAAGACATTTTCCTCCCTTCTATAATTTACAGTTAATTTTATGTAGCGCTGATTCTTTTAAGATCCATCCCCAACTACGTAAGAAAAGTTGCTGTTCAAAGGCGATTTGAAAACTGGTACAGCAGCATAAAAACTAAAATCAATGGTGAAGGTCCTGTGAACTAAACTGGAAGCAAGACATTTTTTGTGATTTTTAAGGAGATACAGAGTATTAATTGTGTTCATAAGAACAATCTCTCTCTTTTAAACGCAGCACTAAGAACGGCAGGATTTCGAAACGGCAGTTTGGGAAGCCGACCTAGTGCTCCTTTTAGAAGCAATGTTTATCAGCCAACTGAGATGGCAGTTGTGCTAAATGGTGGGACTGTAAGTATCAAAATGTGATGATTTAAGAAATCTCTGACATGTACTGATCTATACAACCACTACTAACTGAAAAACCTTCTGCATTTGGCTTATTCATAGCAGGAGGGAAAGCTATAAATGAAAACTTGGGCAGCAAGTATGCATGTAATGCTACCCCTTCCTCTCTAGAAAAGATGCAATTATAAAATATTTTGCATTTCCTTCCTTGGCTATTCAGATTTTGCAGTGTAACTTCAGTGAACCAAGTTCTTTGGTGACTCTACATATTCAGAGGCCCTTTTGATTTAAATTTATGTTAAGGTTGCTAATATAACTATTAAGTGACACAGTTTCTAATCAGATTTCTTTAAGATTCTGCGAGTGACACGAATGTATACAGGCCAGTACATTACTTTGAATAAGAATCATTGTTGCAGATTGTGGTGGTCTTTCACACACATTCAGTTTTCTTGTCAAATGTATGTAATTCATTATAAGTAAGTTACAGAAGTATACTTCTCTGGGAAAGAGATTCATGAAAGGAGAATACAGAATATTTTAATGTTTATACAATTGATTTTTTTTCTTTCTCAGACAGGATAGAGCTGTTATTTGATATTTGATTTGATATTTGATAGAGCTGTTTTTTCTGCAGCCTGGTCATTGCAAGAATGATTTAGAGATCTGATGCCAAACAGGCTCTTTAAGTTTTTTTTGCATGATACGTATAACTTGCACTTGAAGAAATTACGTATAGCACTCATACTGTTTAAAAAAAAAAAAAGAAGAATTTTTCATCCCCATAATCTTCATGCATACTTACATGCTTCTTAAAAATCTAACCATGAGCCAGTTTATACTCATGTAAGTTGGCTTTTATTTATTTTAAATCATGAGCTAATTCCATAACTCGATCTCAACATTCAAAACGAAATAATGTATTCTGACTGCAGGTCTCTTTTTGTTTGTAAGTAAAGTTTTGATTTGTTTTAGTGAACAAGAAGGACCAGACATAAGGATTCTCCTTCTGTGGGTAATACAGTAGGAGGCATCAACTGGAATAAAATGAAAAAGCTTGTGCTTCGCTTTCTGTAATGAATAGCATCCTTCTGATGCCTGGATTAATCTATGCCTATGTTTTCTGATACCAGAATAAGCCAGCTCACAGAAAAGGCAGTTTAAGGATGAGAAGCTAGAGAATTTGGGGGAGGTGGCGGGGAAGTTTTGTTTTGACGTGGACACAAAACTTACTGGCGCACACTGGAGAGTAAATGAGAGATTAATGTGTATATATGCTCATGCTTTATACATGTGTTCAGGCAAATGTATGGGTTGAAGATGAGTTGCGCTGTATCATTTTGCTCTAGAAAAATTGGCTCTAAAGCTGTCGTGTACGAGTAGCATGGTAACGCTGGTGTCTGAACAGACTAGATCTCTTAGTTATGGGTTTGTTATCCTTATTTCCAGATACCAACTGCTCCGCCAAGTTACACTGGACGACACCTCTGGTGAAAGGCTGTAGGCTCTAGAAAATAAGAATCTTTGTTACAGATTTTGTTTCCTGGCAGTGTGTCTTTGAGGGAGGAATCCATAACAATACGAGAACAAAGCAACAAAACATCCAGGAGCTTTCAAAATCCTACAGAGGATTTTATGTAAATGTGAACACCACTTCACTGATAAGCTACATGCGAAAATAAAATTGTAAAACTGAAGCTGAATCTAATTTAAAATAGAAGTAGGCACACTTTAAAATGGAAGAGGGGATCTTGTATTCTGAAATGTAAGAAATACTCTGTCTGTAACTAGTGTGCGAGGCAAGCCTGATATTTTTGTTGTTGTTGTTGTTGGTTGCCAGTTGCTTGCAAAATACCCTCCTCTCACCTAAACTTAATTCAAGTTGCCACAAGAGATTGCCAATACAATGTGAAAACATACAGGATTTATTTCCCTTTTGCTCTTTTTCCCTTCATTTCAAATGTCATGAAAAGTACCTTGTTTGCTTCGTTATCTATCTGTACTGTAATGTCATTTAGCATCACATGTAGCTAAGCATTTTCACTCTGTGGCAACTAAATTACCATTACACTGTACATTGATACTCTTTTCTCTTTAAAAAGACCATGTATGAAATGCAGTTACGGAGAGATGAAATATCTACGCAGGTTTCATGCAAGTTATGGAGCTTCTTGAGGCAGAGGGAAAAAGTGTAGGTGCAGCAGAGAGTCAGGTCTCCTCAGCAGCGTGGAATCAGGTTCCCCGTTACCCTGCCGCAGCCCCGGGGGCGAGCAAAGAGCTGTGTGTCCTAAGTGCTCCTGCAGATGAAGCTGTTAAATGAAACTCTGGAGGGATATACTTTGGCAGAGACTTAGCTGGGGAGAGAATGTGGCTCAAGTTTGCCAGAAGGTCTCTGTGCTGGTGGATTGAAGGAAACCAGCTGTGCTGCGCAGGACAGGTTGTTCTGTTAGGCTGGTCTTGCTGAGGAGGAAATTGGTGGCAGCTGAAAAGTACTGATCGCCTTTCAGGAGGGACTCAGCAGCATGTAGGATCAAGCCCTCTGATTCTCATCTCTATTCACATGAGTAGTCCCATTGACTGCAACTGTTCGTGCATTTAAATGTGGTTGTGCATTTTAGTGCCTAGCGAGTAGAATCTCCGTTCTGGAGGTGGTTTGTTGTTATTTTACGTTCTGACGGCGGTTTCTTCCCTGCTCCTCCCCTGCCCCTCCACTCTTCTGAGTTGATAGAAGGCAGACTTTCTCAAGACTTATCTTTGCTTTCTCCAGGTTATTTAAAAAGTTCCCATTGCCCATTATTTGTGCCATGGTTTTCATTATGTTTAAGCAAATCATTCCTTTATTTAACATTTAATACATATCAGACACTGAAAACATCATTGTATCTTCACTGTTTGGCCAATGTTAATCTTAGCTTTCCTCAATACTAGAAGCAAATTGCTTTTACTTGAGGGCATAGGATACATATAAGGATTAAACTTTGCATATGCTGTAATAAAAATATATATTTTCAAACTAAAAAAATATAATGTACAAATAACTGAATAGCTTAGTAACTTCACAGAAAGAAGTTACTTTCTGTATTCTGCAAAAGAAAGACAAGCTTTTTATTTTTAAAGAGTCTTCCTGATTCTTCATGTACCTCCATTCCTACTGAATTAGGAACCGAGTCCTGCAGACTTGTACTCCTACGAATAGTCCCATGAACATCAGCAGGTCTACATACAGGCAGTACAAAAGCTGCAAGACCCGTCCCTAAGTGTTGCACACAGATATATATGTGTATATATATATATGAAAAAATATATATTGCCATTCTTGCCATGATCATCTTACAGGGTTTTATTTCAAAGCCCTTCTCTTCTAGAAGCAATATTTTTCTGTCATGCATGATTAAAGGAGCACGTTGGCTCCATGTCAGTTGTTGCCCCTGCCCTTCCCTCCTCAAGGCAAAGGGAGCATGTGCTTGTTTTAAGGATGCCTTTTTTTTTTTTATTTTTTAAGTAAGCAGATGGTCTAAGTAACCACGTAGGGTAGGGGTGGATATTGCATGCTATCTAGTGACTTAGAAATACATTTTGCTTGTTAAAAACAAAGTTTTGATCAAATAAGGTAGTATTTATGATAATGATAGTTACCCAGAAGTTGCATCATTTGGAGCAATATAAAACCTATTGATCATCACTTGCCTACAGAAGTTTATTTTTAAAATACATGAATAAAATCTCAGTAAACTATTGTAAAAACATATAAGATGACCATGGCATAAATGGTAGGACAGCTTTCATCCTACAGCTGAGATTTGTGAATTATAATATGCATTTTACATACCTTGGACAAAATCTGTACAAGATCTCCAGAGGTCCCTTCCAACCTAAAAGATTCTGTGATTCTGTGATATAGTTACCTTAAGAAATGTTTGGTTTTTTTCTAGATGTGACTTAATTGATAAATAGAGTTCCCAATCCTACTCTTAATGAAACTGATTGGCCGTGTCTTTGCATAAGGCCTCTAATTCCAGATCCTAAAAACCTCTTACTCATGTGACTCGTCTCATTGGGTAGTCACACGGACTATTCACAGAATTAAAAACTAGCAGGATTGGGCTTAATTTGTGGTGGTGAAGGTGTGGCAATAGATTAGGAGGGTCTTTATTTTACAACTTCATACAATTAGTAATAGGCAACTTTTTTGTCAGTCACTAGTCTGTGATGTAAAATGCCCCAAATAAAAATGTAATTGAAGAAAGGCACTTTTATGTTAACTCATATTTTTGTTACAGTAAACAAATTGTTTACTTTTTGCCTTTTATGAAAGTTATCTAGAATGTAGAGCATCTGTGAACAACATAAGTAAGTGTAAGCACAAGCCTTTCACAGTTAATTATAATTAGCTTTTATACTATAAAAGCTACTATGTTGTCCCTTGGTGGTCATTTGCTCATGGTGTATCCATATAAGAGAAATTAAATCCTAAAGCCTCTGAAAATGTTATTACCCAAACAAATTTTATAACAACTGGCTTTTGCTCAATGGCTAGAAAAAGAGTTCAGAGCCATACTTTACAGACCCTGTCCCGTTTTCAGGAGAGCTCAGGGTCTTTGGCACTTGCCAGAAGACATGTAGCGTCTTGCAGAGCGGCACTCTCAATACATACAGTTGTTTCTATAAACAAGGTACATGACATACTATAGAACTAGCTGTTTCTGTTTTTAGTGTAAACATGGGCATCTTGGTTGGCTTTGTTTGAGCTTGATGCCTTGTGTCTAACCAAAGGCTGTGCAAAAGGGAGCATTGTGGCTTTTACAATAAAACAATTGGACTATTATTCTACCAGCTTACAGGATTACAAAGCAGGTGCTTTTTATTAATTGATGAGAGCTAAAGCTCATTTTTGATAGATAATATATATTTATTAAATGTATTAATGTGTGTTTTATAACGTACCCTTTTTTCCCGCTGATTGTTGCATACTGGTATATTATTAAGTACATCTTTGAAGGATTTTCAAGACAATCAATGTGTACCATGATGGCTGTACATAAGTATACAAAACTACAAAGGTTGTAGAGCATGGGCAAATGTTTTATTTTCAAAATGCTGTTCTTAACGAGAATAAAGGCTTTACTATTTACTTACAATGTTTGTGTTAACTGGGTGTTAAAATCTACATACAATTTTTCCACTCCTAATACAATTGTTGATGGTACAGACATCATTATCCCACGGTGACACCGTGAGTGCAATTCTGCCAGTTCAACTAAGTGGAGCTAAAGAAAACTGCCTCCCTTAGGCTAGGGCCACGTCCCTCCACCTGTGGCCCTCCCACACTTCTTGCCACCGGCTCTGGCACTTATCAGACCCGTGCTGAGCCAGTCCAGGAGCTGAGCAGCCAAACTCTTAACACTATAAGTAAATGGTTTTGGTTTTTTTTTTTTTCAGTTGTTGCAGCAGTTTCCCAGACTGACTCAGTAACTGGGCAGACAATGGCTAGTGCTGGTGGAAGGAAGGGGATAGGACCATGCAGCCGGGGTTGAGGAACGCAGGACCCCGGCAACCCTGATGTTTTATGAGACACTGTTTTCATATGGTTTAATTTTCCTGATCTGGTTCAACAGCCAGCATCGCAAACTGCTGTACCAGAACAACCAAGGGGTAGGGACCAGTATAACAACAAGGACAAGGTCTGTATAAGTCATGGAAGAAATGCACGTTGAATGACAGCAAGAGTGAGATGGTAACCATGTTTTACCATGCTTTATTCGCATCAACTAGACCTCTGTTGGACTTATTTGCAGTTCTACTAATAATTCTATGCATCTCTAACTGGGAAATTCAAAACACCTAAATAGGGCTATGCCTTGTAAGACAGAATTAGAGAATAATGAGGGGTCCTTAATCAGAGGACCAAATCTGTTTTTTATTTTGCTCGCACCTTACATAAGTAAGGACACCTATGCGAGATTGTAGAAATTGCTATCCTGGGAATCTTAATTTTATGCTTTCTTGGCACATGCATTAAGTGACAACAAAAGGCCCTTTGACTTTTTTCCCCCGCAGAAATGCATTGCAACCATAGCTTTCATTGCCGTCAGTGGGAATTGCAAAGGCACAGCTATTTTGAAAATCAGACCATTGTGAACAGAGCTGGAAGGGGTGCAAATTATCACGGCTCCGCAGAAGTGGGTGAAGCTACTCCGATTTATACCAACTGAAGATTTTGGCCTTAGTTTCAACACTTAGCCTGCATGTGGGTGCAACCCCATTTATTTCATCTGGAGCTTTGTGTCCATCAGAAACTTAAATCTAAACACTCAAGAACACCAGATGAACATGGATGTGAAATTTTTGGCCACATGCAGACAATCCCGTCTGTTTTAACAGAATTGTGCTCACTTACATTAGGACAGAATTTGTCTTGGCAGGCCAGGTCCTTATGTAATCTCACTTTTAATTCGCAACACCTCACATGTCAAAGTAAAACTGCAATGCTAAGAATGTTTCTAAATTAGTACCACACAGAGTTCGTTCCATGACCTCTGTGTTTTATGGTGGTGGTGAGAGAACTAAAATTGAGATCTTCAATGAGTTGGTGTAGGTTCTTCTGAATCTTCTAATTTGCTTCCCACTGCAACCATATAAAACAGAACATTAAATACTTACTTAACCTCCCAAAACATCCACAGAAGTGAAAAAGTAAGTACCCATACTTCCACAATAAATACTCTGTTGTTCAACCCAAAAATAAAAAAAAAAGCACCCCACCCAACCCAAAAGATATATTTCTAATGTGTGGCACTTTTTGTTCGGACACAACCTCAGCCCTCATATACTTGTATGCAATGCTCAGTGCCATCCGTGGGCGTTGTGCATGCGGAGCTGAGGGCAGGGTTGTTTGCTAGTAAGAAGCCATGGGACTGTACACTTGAAGCTCAAAAAACTGAAAGCAGCTCTTTCTTTGAGTTTTTTTGCTTTGAAGATTTTCAATTAAAAGTTAGTGATGATTGAAGTCATACAGTTCACCTAACGTATAAATATATTTTTTTGTCACTGCAGACAACAAGCAAGGTCGATGATAAAGAATAGTTTTTCTATGTCTCAGTGGAAAGAAGAATGTTATCCATGTGATTGCAAAAGGTCTGCCAAATGGGAAAATCAATCAAACAAAGAGCACAGGGTTGCTGGCCTGGAGTAAACAATCCTAAATGAACAAAAGCTCCACATAAAAGTAAAATGTCCCATCCCCCAGTGCAAGCTGTTTTTCAAAGCTCTGTATTCTTTCAGAGCGCTCTAATACAGATTAGCCTAATGTTTTTCTTATGTTGATACAACAGTCTAGTCCATTTCTATGATTTCAGCTGCCATATTGTGTAATTCTTAATATTTTACAAACGGCCTTTTAACCTATAAAGATAAAAATCCGTTTCTTTACTCCCTACCCTTCAGAAGATGTTTCTGTGCTATACACCTTTCAAGTAAAGAGAGTCTATTGGGAAGCTTTATGTATAAAAGTTATGTTGCAGACAAAAACAAAACAAAACCAAGCCAAAAAACTACCACCTATCTCCAGTTATCTATGCTAGCTACAGTTTCAGGAGAGCTTAGTTAGTTACTTTTCTGAGGCACGCAACTGAAAACCAGCAAACAACCCCCACCTTGGTACGTACCAGGATACCGGGCCGCAGCAGGCCCATATTCTAATTTAAGGTGCTTGATGTGCTACAACCTGGAAGATCTCAGCTTGCAGAAAACATACTGTAAAAATGATGTACGGTAGAGAGATAGCACTGATGCTATCTCAGAAATCCAAAATATGACCAAGGTGGCAGAACATGGCCTGTGTTCTACAGTGGTCAAGGCAATAGGTGCCAGTTGGTCCAAGACCTTTCTGGCTGTTAGGGCTTTGTTTTTATAGCTGATAAGGAGAAAAATTCGACTGGATTAAATATCCCACGTGACTATGAATGCACCATAGAGAAAAATACCAACTATTGAGTAGAATTGTATGTAATATTCCTTGATGCGATGAGACTGGCCTTTGCCAGTGTTTCCTAAAAATTCTTGCAACACATTCAAAAACCACAGGGCTAACACACACTGTTCCAGATTACAATTAGCAGGTGTTTTAGGTAGCTGCTAGCAGTCCTTTTAGTCAGGAGCATCCATGTCTTATCATAACCTGTGTTACTTAAGCCTAACATTTTCAAATCACATCACACTAAACAGGAAGCACAGGTTGTCAGCATGAATCTGGATTTCAGGCAGTTATTTAAATGGCTTTGGACATACACTTGCTTCTTAGGCAGGCAGAAAAGTAAGATGTCCTCAGGATTCACATGTGCCAGAAAGATGGCGAAAGAAGACTGGATGACTAAGTCTTTTCACTAGAAGTTTCCATTGGAAAAATATACTTTTCAGACTGTTGTACCTCAAAGTGAACTAGTATGCCTTTTTTATTTTGCAAGACCTAAGCAGCAATATGTTTAACTGGTGTATCAACGTAGCTCCCATGAAGTTTAGAACAATTCACACTAGCTAATAATCCAGCCCATTTTTTTTTCCAGACAATACATATCTGAAAGCAACGAACAGTGTAAATGTGAACATGAGCAACTTGCTTACAACCATGCCTTTCATATGCTGGATTTTAACCACTTAAGTGCCCAGACATTGTATTCAACAGGACCAAGAGCAAGATTCATTTCTGTTTTGTTTTGTTTTCTTTTTAATGCAACTCAAAACTGAAGTTGAACTTCAACAGCATAATTCCCATTTTGTCCCTCTACTTCCTTAGTCACTGTGTGCAGTTGTGTTGGCAGGCTACTAGCTTTGCAGTACCGCCATTCTGCAATGCAATGGGGACCCCCTCTTTTTCTCTAGAGAGATGTCCTAAATGACAGGCAAAGGCTTATAAACATGACCAGGTAGGACAAACTGCCTCAGGATGTCACGTATGCAGTGGCTACTGCAACTGCGCACCACTGCCAGTCCCAGGGCCATGCCAAAAAAAAGCATTCTCAAAGCAAGCTGGATTTGACTCCCATGAAAAGTATGAACAGCTTCACTCCCAAGATATTTGTGTAACAGAATGTGTGAAAATTACCTACAGAGAATGCATAATCACTAGTTTAAGGAGGTTTCACCAGAAATTTAGAGGTGGTAACAAAATTATGAGCCCTGGCAGCATTATCACAAATATCATAGTATTTCATGTTGTTTTAAAATATCAGCTACTGTTCTAAGGCACAGAAAAACTGAGGCTCTTGGGTGCTATGCCAGTGTTAAGCCATTAAAAAAAAAAAGAGAGAAAAAAAGAATTTTTAAGGTGCATTTCTACCATCGCTTTTCAGGATGTAAAATGAACAAGCTAAATGTGCAACTCCACAGGGCAAATAAGCCCTCCCACATCATCTAATGGTACTTAGAACAGTCTCATAATTTCTGGAAGATGTACCGATAATGCTTATTGTTTGAAGTTGACAAACAGTATAGAACATGTTACTTATTTCCAGGTTTATGTTTTCTGATTGCACAGGTTTTATGTTTTCTGCTGTCAGGACAGTTAAGTTGTTAGTACTGCATTTCAGTTTCACGGCTGATTTTATCAATTCTTGTTTTAAAATACAGAGTGAATCTCATTAAGCTATGCTTTAGTCACATGCATGTTATAAATCCTAGGACACGATAACCATTACTACAATTATAAGCACTAGTGGAGACGGCACTTCAGTTCCTTAGATGTGAACTGAGGGTCTCTGAACATGCTAGCAGAACTGGTATTCTGTAATTTTTGACTTGCTATTCTTTTTCTAAAAAATTATCCATTGGTTTGTCTGCCATTTTCCTTGTAAATGCAGCTCATTTTACATAATTTATCATATATGTGCTGCAGTGCATAGGCAGAGATGATTGCTGTGGGAAGCACTGGCTTTGAATGTATTTGAATTTACTCTTTCAGTCAACTCCCGGGGGTGAAATACTCAAAAAAAAAAACCCTGCAAAATTCATACTAGACAGCTGAGGACTGCATGGTTAGGTCTTTGTCCTATTTATTTATGCTTTAAGTTCATACATCTTTACCACCTGTTTTAGATAAGACAGGCAATTTTCCCTCATGTTAATGCACAGATACAGAATCAAGACTAACATTCTGGTTTAAGACTTGGTTGTTCCAGTGTAACAGCGAACAAACTATGACCTACTTTATACACTACGGTATAATACAACTGGCTTGTGACGGTAGCTTATGAAAGGTTTATACACCCACACTCTTGAATTGCTTAAATCGTAAGAACTATGAGAATTACATTTAGTAATTTAAACAGCTGAAAACAGTAATGAAAAATACCATACACTCAGACTGTAAGAAGATGAAAATCTATTAAAGAAAATCTATTGGAATAACTTATTAGCAGGGGCTTAGAGTAAAATATATAAATAGAAAGGAGTTTCACCCTAGCCTCCCAATGAAATGCCAAAGAAGCCTGAACATGAAATTAGAGCTGCTAGCAGTCTTTCTGAAATAAGACCCGACTTTTAAAGAGAGAGTTCTTTATAAAGTATAGATATAATTTTAGTCCTATAGTCTTGGAAGTCAACATGCATGCAATAGTTAGTGAAACCTTTCACTTCAATAAATCTTCAGTCACCAGTGATACGAAATTGATGTATTATTAATAGATACACTGTAAAATAAACACATAATTAATTGAAGAAATAATGGAAATTATGCCCACAGACATGTCTGCTACTCATGAATCCGAAATGGAACTGCCAGAAGATCACTCATCAGGATGCTGCTTTTGTGAAACGTGACAACACCAGTGTAATTCTCTATACCAGCAAACCAGAGTTTGTATAATGCTTAACCTTGCCTTAATGACAGTTACTGTAAAACCATTTCTAGGTCTGAGTCACTGCACTCTCAACAACTCTGTATGAAGCAGAGCCAAGTCTGAAAGTAGCACAGTGTAGGTGATGCCAATCAGCCCAACCAAGCTCTCAGGCGGCTTTCTGGTGACCGGTCTGCCCAGGATGTTTCTGAAATGCCAGGCACATGCAGACACAATAGCTGCGTTTAATTCCTTTAGAGAACACACACCATTTTAGGGAATTCATTTATTCACTTAGGATCAGACTAAGGAACTGACAGAGAAGAGAGACCCAAACACCAAGAGACAGTAACAGAGATGGGAACACGGGATGAGAGATCTCTAGCAGTATTTGTTTATGCTTTCCTAATCTTTTAATAAAAAGATGAAGAAGTCATCTGGATACATCTGTGTGGCATTTCTGCAAGTCAAGGTGTATAAAGAGAAAAGCACAGGAAGAAATGCTGGAAAATATATCTATTAAGCCAGATAAACACTGAGATGAACAGCTGAATTTGGGAGAGAACAAACTTCACAGTATTAGGTGTACTGGTGACTATATTTCTAGTAACTATCCGAGTGTCCTTCAAATCACTCAGTGACCTGCGATTCACAGGAAGAAACCCGGAGCAATGCAGCAGTCCGGAGAAGAAGAACCTGGACCGAGGGAGGAAAAATCCAGAACAAAGGTAACTAGCGTATGTTCACCATGAGGTGATCAATGCAGCTGTTTTGCATGTAAGTAGTGGAGATGGAT